GGTCTGTGGATGGAGGTCTGTGGAGGGGAGGTCTGTGGAGGGGAGGGCTGTGGAGGGGGGGTCTGTGGATGGAGGTCTGTGGAGGGGAGGTCTGTGGAGGGGAGGGCTGTGGAGGGGGGGTCTGTGGATGGAGGTCTGTGGAGGGGAGGTCTGTGGAGGGGAGGGCTGTGGAGGGGGGGTCTGTGGATGGAGGTCTGTGGAGGGGAGGTCTGTGGAGGGGAGGGCTGTGGAGGGGGGGTCTGTGGATGGAGGTCTGTGGAGGGGAGGTCTGTGGAGGGGAGGGCTGTGGAGGGGGGGTCTGTGGATGGAGGTCTGTGGAGGGGAGGTCTGTGGAGGGGAGGGCTGTGGAGGGGGGGTCTGTGGATGGAGGTCTGTGGAGGGGAGGTCTGTGGAGGGGAGGGCTGTGGAGGGGGGGTCTGTGGATGGAGGTCTGTGGAGGGGAGGTCTGTGGATGGAGGTCTGTGGATGGACATCTATGGAGGGGAGGTCTGTGGCTGGAGGTCTGTGGCTGGAGGTCTGTGGAGGGGAGGTCTGTGGAGGGGAGGTCTGTGTAGGGGAGGTCTGTGGATGGAGGTCTGTGGAGGGGAGGTCTGTGGAACACATTTACTTGGTTGATCTGGGAGAACAGGAGTCATGAGGGAGACATGGCAGACAGGGCCCTTGCCTCTGACCTGGCCCAACATGTTCGTAAGAAGGGGAAACTGAGGCTGGGAATGGGAAAGTAACTGGCAGGTTCCCTGGTGCTGACCCAGGCAGGACACTGCTCCTGGTTCGCCCATAAAGAATGGGGCCTCTTCAGTGGCTAGCAGACTGGCCCAGAGGTCATTACCCTGCAGAGGCGGGGAGGGCTCCTTCCTGAGCACTGGCCTCCCACCAGCCCTGCCAACGGCCCAGACCACTCCCCACCGAAGACCTGGCAGCTGGCTGTCGCTCCATCTTGTGCAGGGGCCACCTCAGTGGTCTCCCGCTCCTTCCCTGTTCCCGCTCCTATCCTCTCTCTATCTCTCTTTTTATTAATTCTCACCTGAGGATATTTTTTCCATTGATTTTCAGAGAGAATGGAAGGAAGGAAGGGAGGGAGAGAGAGAGAAACATCTCCCATACGCGCCCCAACTGAGGCTGGGGATCGAACCCACAACCCAGGTACATGCCCTTGACCAAAATTGAACCCGAGAACCTTCAGTGCACAGGCCAGTGATCTAACCATTTGCTACATGGGCCAGGGGGACACTTGTTCTCTTTATAGCCACCAGGGGGATACTGTGAGGACCTCAGGGGAATGTCTCTCCTGTGCTCAAACACTGCAGACTCCTCACCTCACTCCCTGTGAAAGCCAGAGTCCTTACAAAGATGTGGCTCCTTGTCACCTCTCTGTCCCCATCTTTTCCCACTCACCCATTGCTCTCTCTGCGCCAACCACACCAGCCTCTGCCATTCCTTGAATATTCCCACCCTGTGCCTGCTCGGGGCCTTTGCACTTGCTGCTCCCTCTATCTGCCATGTTCCCCTCAGACAGCGGCATGCTCACTACTTTAGTCCTTCAAATCTGTTCTCAGATGATTTCAAGGGTGAGTTTCCTGAGCCCCCACATGAAACAGCTCCCAGCCCCCTTCCCTGGCTTTATTTTTTTACAGCACTGCCCCACCTAATGCAACACACTACATCATTTACTCACTCACTCCGCTTCCTGTCTGTATCGCAGCTAGAAAAGACTGGAAACCTTTTCTCATTCCTAACTCTTAGAATGGTGCCTGGAACATAGTAGGTGCTCAATAAATATTTGCCAACCAAATGGATGGATATTTCTGCTGCACTCAAGTTGCGTGAACTTGGGCAAGTCTATTGTTTGGACCTCAGAGATCTGTCTCTGAAATAGGAAGGGTGACTGAGTGGAGGAAAAGACAGCGGTTAGAAATCACTGGCCGACTCCTCCATAAACATGTGCGGAGCAGATGTGGAACCTGCCTGGCCCACCTCAGGCCCCAGGCCTTCATATTTGCACACAGCCCCAAGGCGAGGAGGGCCTGCGGGTTACCAGCCCAGGTCTGAACTTGAATGCAACTTCTGGATCTCAGTGGCACGTGCCTGGTCTGGTGGGTGGAGTCCAGAGCCCTCTTCTCTGCTTCTTGTGCCCACCTGGTGGCGCTCGGCTCACCCCTGCCCCTGGTGGCATATCAGTGAGCCTCACACCTGGCAGCCCTGCTGGCCCCTTTGCCTGCACCCTGCCAGCTCATGCTGGGGTCTCCTCCATGGCTCCTGCTATTATTTAGCTCTGGGACAGCTTTTGGACTCAGATTTCGCAGGAAAGCACCTATTCAGTGCTGGGCAAACCAACGGGCGCCGTCCAGGCCCAGGCTCTCCTGAACACGGAGACACCTCACCAGGAAAGAGCGGGCCCTTTGAGACTGGGACATCCCACTCTCGCCCATAGAGCTCTCCCACCAGTCAATGGGGTGGGTCCCCTCGCCCCACTTAGCCTGGAGTGGGACTCATTGGTGGGTAGTGGAGTCAGACCCCTGGACAGAGCAGGGATCTTGCCAGCCAGCAACCTCCCCTGCTGGTCATTCCCTCAGCATTTACGAGTGTCTGCTGTGTACTGGGTGCTGCTGCCGTGATCCCGTGGAATCTGCCAATAGAGTCTGAGAAGACAAGCAAGAGTTTGGGGGCCATGAAGACCTAAGTTTGAATGTTGACCTTGTCACTTTATTCATTCATTTGCTAAATGCATGTTGAGCACCTGCTCTGCCAGGCAGAGGTGGCAAGATCTCTCCAGACACCTATGGTCAGTAGGGATCAGACTGTCTTGCTGTGTGTTGACAAGCCTTTGACAGCTCTGAGGGATGGGCAGAACCCTGCGGGGCACGGAGGGGCTGTCCTAGGACATGACACTGCCTCTTAGCACTTAAAGAAAGGCCCTGGCCAGGGAGGGGTCTTCCATCCCCTTTGGCAGATGTGAGTCTGGACCTTCCACCAGACGGCCCCAGGAACAACACGGAGGGCGCTGGACAGATGAAGGGCTCTGCTCTCCTTTGGGATAAGCCATGAAACCACCATCTCATTCCTTCCACCCGCAAGGGCATGGGGGGGGGATCCAGAACCCGTGAAGGGCAGCCCTGAGCGCCCCTGCTGCCCTTGCCCTGGTGCTCTCCATCCCCACCCCCCTGTTGTTCTCTAAAGGGGCTGCTGGCTCCCAGAAGAGAAGGCCCCGGGCCTGGTCATGCTCACAGGAAGGGCTGGGGTCGGCCTCATTCGGTCCTTCCCTTACCCATTGATCCATTCAACAGATACTTACTGAATGTGCGCCAGGCACCATTCCAGGTATGGAGGATACACAAACAAAAACAAATACACAAATAGGTAAATTATAAGGTACATTAGCAGCCAGGGAAGAACATTCCAGGCAGAGGGACCAGCAAGGACCAAGGCCGTGAACTGAGTGAGCCTGCAAATGCAAGGGGCGGTGAGAAGGAGGATGGGGGTGTGATCACAGGTGGCGGGCCTGACCGTGTGGGCCCTCAACAGCTGTGAGGACTCTTCCTTCTTTTGATCGCTCTAAAACCAGGGTGGGTGGGAGCCTGCCCTGCTCCGGGGAAGAGGCAAGCGCTGCCATCACAGTCTGGCTGGTCTTGACCTTTTGTGGGTGGCTGCATGGAGGAGGTGGCTGAGCCAGGATGTGACAGGGACAGGCTGAGGCCAGGGTCAGGTGGCACTGTGACAGGTCATGGATCGGTTTATGGTTGGGTTGGTGTCCCCAGCAGGTATTTGTTTCTTTGTCTAACGTTGCACACAGTGGGCCTCTCCTGGCTCACCCAGCAGCCTTAGGTCTGAGGGACCCTGGTTCCCAGGTCAGATCATAAAGGTAGAGACGAAACAGTCTGCATTTTAAAGATGGGGAGCCCAGGGAGGAGCTGGGCTGCCCAGGGCCTGCTGGCTGGGAGCAGCTGCTTGCAGTCAGCCCCTTCACAGGTGAGCCAGGGGTCAGTCAGCCAGAGGGCTGTTTGGGTCCATTTCTGGGAGAGAGGCTGCTCCTTGTCCCCAGGTGGGCGCCGTACTCAGGAGTCTGGATGCTCCGGGCCTGGCAGTAGGCAGTGTCCTGGGCAGAGGGATCAGCATGAGCAAGAAAACAGCGAGGCTCTGGGCACTTGGACTGATTAGGTCCGGGCTAGAGCCCAGGCTCTGTTTTGCGTTTCCCAGTTTACACTGGGGTTGCCTGTTCACGCCACTCGGGAACGAGTGGTCTCTGTGCCACCAGCCCCTGCAGTCCTCAGCCAAGGACCTGGTGGCACAGCAATCCTGGCATGAAACCCTTTTTTGCTCTCCCCACCCCCAACCCAAAGGGGGCTGGAGCAGTGAGGTGGAGATGCTGCCAGGAGGGGTGGGGAGAAGTCCTACCCTGGATGTGTGGGGAGGGTGGTAGGTGCGGGTGGAAGTTAGGAGATGGGGAGAGGGGAGGAGGCCCATCTCTGAACCACAAAACCTGTGCTCCCCTCTTACCAGAACAGATAGGGGTCTGAATGGAAAGCTTGGTGAAGGTTGAGGAGAGTGAAACACTAGCGAGTGGAGACCAGAGGAGCGCGGAGAGAGCCAGGTCTGACAAGGCTGTGTGGTCTGTGGCTCAATAATCCATAATAGGATCGATAATAGAATAGACCGACCCCTATAGGTCGGACACGTGTCTGGAAAGAAGGGTGGGTAGGTGGATGGAGAGGCGAATGGATGGATGAATGAATGAATGAATGGCTGCGTAGGCGGTGAGACGCCCAGCAAGGCGGTGGCCAGCCCAGCGCTCAATCACAGTCCCTTGGCATCACGCCCTCCTGACCGCTCAGACACCCCCCCCCACACACACACTCACACACACTCACACACTGCTCAGAACGCCCCCCGCCCCCCCCACCCCACCGCAGCCGCCTGGGGCGCATAATTCCAGGCTCGAGGCGGCTTGGGGACTGGGGCAAGGAGGGGCCACACCATTGCGCGGGGCTCTACGCCAGCCTTTAGCGTTCTGCCGAGGGGTGGGGGTCAGGAGGGGAGGAAACCTGGAGGTGTGGTCCGTCTTGAAATACCCGCCCCCTCCCCGCCGCTCTTCTTTGTCTCCGGCTAGTCCTCCACTGTCTCCCGACCATGACCTGCTTCTTCAGGCAACCCTGGCCGCGCAGGCTTCCAGGCTGCTCCTGGATCCCAAGTGTCAGCTCCAGCTGCCCCCAGGCCTTAGGCAGCTTCCCCTGCCCAGCAGGGTTCTCCAACCCGTGTCTCCAGCACCTGGAGCTGGCAAGTGCCAGGATCCGTGTCTAAGCTGCGTCTCCAGTGCAGAGAGGGGGCGCAGGATGAAGTCCCCGCCTCTCTGCCTTCCCTCTTCCTCCCCTCCTCCCCCACTGCTCGGGGCTTTGCGCCCTGACCCCATCGCAGCCTGTTCGAGCCTTAGTGGCTCTTCTGCGGTTATGGGATCCCCAACAGCACTCGGTCCACCGCCACCCCCACCTCGCCCGCCGGGCCTCAGCCCACACACAGAACACAGCCCCATGCAAGATCGCCCTCAGACACACACCACAGCCTTTCGCGGACGCACGGCCCTGCACAAGCGCACTGCCTCCTCCATGCACAGCCCCAACAGCCACAATCCCACCCGCAAACAAGCCCACACGTAACACAACACCCCTCAGACACACTCGAGCCCACGCAGACACAATTCCCCCCCACACACAACCTCACACAGACACAGCTCTGCACAGGCGCAGTCACACCCACGCAGTCACACCCCCCCATAAACAATCGCATACAAACATGACCCACGCAGGCACCGCATCACTCGGTTCCTCTGAGACCCAGAGACACATTCACAGCTTGCAGCCATTCACAGCTCGCAGCCAGACCCCTACACCCCGTGACATTCACACGTAGGACAGACCAGCAGTATACAGCCTCATTGATACACACACGGACTTCAACGCGCAGCCAAGAAGAGCTCACCCACCGGCTCGTAAGTCACTGGAAAAATATTAAAGCGATCCCTCCCTCCCCTTTTATCTCTGGGTAGCGCGCGCGCGCGCACACACACACGCACGGAGACATTCACCCCCACCCCCAGTCCCTAAGCGCCACCGAGCCTCCTAGCCTGTGACCCGGAGCCCCGCAGTGAGCCGTTGGAGCGTCTCCCCTGCGCCCCCTTCCTCCCTGCTCCCCCTTCCTCTCCCCTCCCCCTCGTCTG